GCGATCATGCAGATCACATGCACACTTCACAAGATCTCACAACTAGATTCGAATAAGTTTGCAAGGTTTGTGAAATAACATTTTCCTTAGCCATTCAAAGATTTGTTTAAATGATGTAAATGCGTATTTGCTCAATGTTGACGGCAAACGAGAAAGTATTATAATGTTTGCCTTTCTATTACTAATAATATTAAAGCAGTCGTTATAATACTTTCTGTATACATTTTAATTCCCTTGTTTAACCATTCTATCTGATTATTAGACAGACTTCTATCCGTATTTAGACAGAACTGTTAACGACGACGGCGAACAAGAGGGAGAATGTGAGTACTGTGTGCTGTCAGCGCCGTCAAAATAAAAGTCTGTTTGGCCTCGAACGCATCGGCCAAACAGAAAAACTTATCGGCCGATGCCGATATTTGAAAAATGCCAAATATCGGCCGATATATCGACCTTGGCGATATATCGGTCGACCACTAATTTGAACGCACCTGACGTCATAAATACGAATTTTCCAGAAGGACTTGAATGCAACAATAGACCTTATAGTGTTTAGAGCACAGAAATACATGAATGAGCCTCCTAGTTTTGTTGCTAGTGTTGTCTCTGTTTTCACAGGTGGGTATCTTCCACCTCCAATGCCATCTGTACCGATGCCTGTGCCTGAACAGGCCCCCAGCCCACCAGACTGGCAGTAAGAGCTTTTTCTCTATACAAAAAACACTCAATGCACACATTTAATCTTAAACACTCACCTATGATATGCAATGTTCATACAAAGATGGGCATTCTTCATTTAAATAACAGTATTTTTTAAATAATTGGCTTTAACTTCAGTACAGTAAAAACTTAGCAAAGAAATGTTATCTTTATAATTTTGTCAGACAATATATATAGATATGTACTGTAGCTGCTTTTATATTCACCTTGCAGGGGATCATCATATTTTGAGAGTTTTGGCATCAAAAAGTTTGAAAGCTTTATCTAAAATGCATTCTGCTGATTCACCTTTTTAGCCCATTATTCTGCACTATGACCTGAATACGTTGTGTCAGTTTAGTAAAACACCTAAAAAGGGTCATGGAGGTACTAAAAATGTCACAACACACCCTGTTAGACATGTGCAAAGGTCACTTACATATTGATATTTTCTCTTTGATATCAGTATACCCTCCATCTCAGAGGACAGGGCACGTCAAGCTTTCGCAACGTACGTCTCCAGCAAGTGCTGCTATAGTTCTGCCCCCGTCAGAGAGGGAGTCATAACCAATATGGAGTCCTTTAATACCTACAGGGTGAGACCTAAATTACAAATTAAAAAACATTAAATCATCTTCATTATGACGTTTTCTTCTTCGGTATGTGTTTTTTTTTACATATAATGTTTAAGACATATAATTTTAAGGCGTGGAGGAGGATGAGCATGTTCTTACGGAAATGTCTAGGACTACCCTGAAGCCTAAGCAGTATCGCTTTATACGGGCAAAACAACGAGCTGAAACTCCCCATCAGCAGCCTGAATGAAGAATTCATGGTGACCCGCACTAGGGAGTTGCTGCAATACTAGGAGTCCTCAGACCCAAAAGTCTCTCAGGCAGGGATTGAGGTCAGGACAGGGCTGAAATGGAAGGCATCTGAGGCCATGGATGTTGCTGAGTCACGTCTGAAGCAAAGGGCACTGGTGGGCACAGTGGTTCAAGGAAGAGCAGGCCTGAGCAGCAACACGGCGTCGTGCTATGGCAAGGCAAGGAGGAAGGATAGGAGGTTGCAGCTCCAGGATGAGGTCAGAGCATTGCTTGAGGAAGTGCGAGCCAGCAGGATTGATGGGATGCAGCAGCAGGCAGCCTGGACAAGGTGGATTCATGGTGACCAGCACTAGGGAGTTGCTGCAATACTAGGAGTCCTCAGACCCAAAAGTCTCTCAGGCAGGGATTGAGGTCAGGACAGGGCTGAATGGAAGGCATCTGAGGCCATGGATGTTGCTGAGTCACGTCTGAAGCAAAGGGCACTGGTGGGCAAAGTGGTTCAAGGAAGAGCAGGCCTGAGCAGCAACACGGCGTCGTGCTATGGCAAGGCAAGGAGGAAGGATAGGAGGTTGCAGCTCCAGGATGAGGTCAGAGCATTGCTTGAGGAAGTGCGAGCCAGCAGGATTGATGGGATGCAGCAGCAGGCAGCCTGGACAAGGTGGGAACAAGTAGTAGAACGCAAAGTTACTTGGACCAAGCTCTGGAAATCTAAGCCCCACTGAATAAAATTCTTAATCCAGGCAGTCTATGACATTCTACCAAGCCTGTCAAATCTTTTCTGCTGGGAAAAGGTAGAGTCACCAGCTTACCCTCTGTGCCTGAAGAAAGAGACCCTGGATTACATCCTCAGCAGCTGTCTAAGAGCCCTGAGTGAGGGGCGCAATCGTTGGTGTCATGACAAAGTTCTGAAGGCCATAGCACAGGGTTCCTTAAATCCGGTCCTGGAGGACCACTGCCCTGCAGAGTTGAGCTCAAACCCTGATCAAACTCCGTCACCTGTGATTTTCTAGGGATCCTGAAGATCTTGATGAGTTTGCTCAGGTGTGTTTGATTAGAGTTGGAGCTAAACTCGAGCAAGATTTGAGGAACCATGTCATAGCAGATACCAACTCCAGCTGGATTACCCACTGTAAGCACCTACGCCCAACGAAGAAGACCATCACTATTGATAGGGCTGGAGAGAAGGTAACAACATCTGCCAGGACTTCCTCCTCTGGTGTGCTAACATCTGCACAGGACTGGGAGCTGAAAGTCAACCTGGGTAGGCAACTGAAGTTCCCAGAAACTGTTCCCATAGCATCGCTGAGGCCAGACATGGTGCTGATCTCAGAAGCCTCCAAGCAGATCATCTCTTAGACTCACAGTCCTCTGGGAGGATTGTATCGAGGAGGCCAATGAGAGGAAGAGATCTAAGTACACAGAGCTGGTAGAAGAGTGCTGAAGAAACAACTGGCAAGCAAGGTGCGAGCCCACTGAGGTGGGATGTAGAGGGTTTGCAGCCCAGTCTTTTTGCAAGGTCTACAACATGCTGGGCATCAGAGGGGCCAGTATACAAAGGGGCATTAAGTCGGCCACGGATGCAGCAGAGGTTGCTTCAAGTTGGCTGTGGATCAGGAGAGGAGAGCCTTGGGTGTAGTGCCAGGTAGTGCTACCTGGACACAAGCTGGGGCTTGATCAAACCCGACTGGGTCGCCTGGGCGAGGATGTCTGATTATTGAAAGACCCGAAATACCCGATGACTCCAGGAAACATCACTGATGATGTGTCCAGAAGCATCACATGGTGATGCATATTAAAAACTGATGTGATTTGTGGTTGATAGAACTAAATGCTGCTTCTGTTCTCAGTATCGTTTGGAGACGTTCACATAGTTGGCTGGTAGAATGTCTGTACTGATGTCTCCACTCAGAATTGGTCACTTGATTGTTGTCTGCCCACTAGTTCTCTCTCTCTCTGTAGCTGACCAAGTGCACTATTTGACTGAAGTAAACAGAAATATCTGATCATCCTCCATAACATGGTCGCTATTTACATCTCATACGGTATGCAAACACTTGCAGGTGCATCTCAATAAATTAGAATGTCGTGGAAAAGTTCTAATTTTTCTGTTTGTAGAGCACAACAGTCGAGTTCCGGAATCAAAAGTCCTATTCATTTTCTCAACACGATAGTGAATTTAAAATGATAACTTCAAAACTTTTAAAGACAGACGTGCCATGTGCTCTGTGGTTGTTAATCGATGGTTCATGCTTTTGTTGAAGCCATCAGCCCGCATTATTTTGTATGAAACTTATTTTAACAAACTTACTTTTTAAATAATCATGTTAAAATCCAGAATTCATGGTGAAGAGCTACATTACCCATGATTCTGCAAAGAAATTGTGACAAGCAAATTGTACCAAAAAAAACACCCTCTCAGATGAAGCACTATGAATGATATAATAGTCTCTCTGCATTTTCAAAATACTTTGTAATGCTGTGATTTTTACCTCATAGCTGGTTTGGATTGCTTTCGTTGCTTATAATACTTTAACATAACTTTTTAAAATCCCTATGGGACAAATTAATGGGACAAAGAAATATGTCTGGAACCAAGGCTGCTGAAAAAGTGTTTTACTCTCTAAAGTACCAATGCTTTTTGGCTTCCTGCAGCAGGTAAACTTGCCAGTAATGGTTATGTTCAGTAAGTCGGATCATATTTTAGAGCATTATATTCTGTTTGCACCCTAGAACTGTCACTTGTGTCTGGGAATGGGAAGAAACCCCTGTACCAGCTGTGCTGGAGCTGGAAATGTAAGTAAATTTTTAACTAGCACAGACCGAACCAGCTGCACGCCGGGCTTTTAATTATCAAAGTTTTTTTCACAGAGGAAAATATGGCACTTGTATTGAGTAAAAGTATCTCTTTGTGTGGTGACTGGAGAGCAATTCAAGTTGAATTGTACTGGAATTGTGCACACAAGCCACAGAATATTTTTTAATTCAGTTCATCATATGACATAAATACCCTAATATATGACCTGTTTGTACTCTATTGTTTTCCATGTGCAGAAAGTCTGTTGGGTGTGTAATGGTTCTGGTTACCGTCATTCTGATGACCGCTGCACGCACTGCAATGGGCGCGGACGTGAAAAGTAAGTCCTTTATAGCTGTATATAATGAGACATTTCTTTAAAACAGGTTTCTCTCCAAACAAAAAATTGCTTTTTTTAATGTCTTAAATTACTTACTTTACTTAATTTATATTTCTTTTACTTATTTTTTTATTTAATTTAATTTATTGTATTTTAATGTAATTTATTTTTATTGTATTTTTATAACTTTTGTGGCTACTGTGGGTTGAATTCAGATGGAATCCTGCAGGGGGCTTCAGTGGTTTGGTATTTTTCTGAGTTCTGACTTATCTGGTGTCTTTCAGCTGTAGTTCATGTAGCGGCAGCGGCTACTGCCAGTGTGACACCTGCCGTGGAAAGGGAAAGCTGCTCGTCTTCATTAACCTCAATGTTAAATGGTATGATCTATATGATATAACATTCATGTTTGCTAAGGCAGGCATGGCTATTATTACTATATTAACTAGCTCAGTCACTGTTTGTGCAATATACATGAATTCTGCAGTATGAGGAGAGGTTTGTGGTTATGTTTCTAAACGATCATACTCATAGACTTGCATTGAAGTCATTCTTTGCACAAGAGAGCACTCATTTACAGTTTCTTTGAAATAAAAAGAAATCAAGTCATTATTATTAATTATTTCATGATAATCAGAAGTCTTTCAAACTGAACTGTCTCATTCTAAAAGCTATTTTTGGACTATTTCAGGAGCATAGAGAAGGATGAATTCGTAGCGCAAGATTCAAGTGGTCTGAGAGTGGAAAAACTGGAGGAGGTTTCAGGGAAGGAGCTCTTCAAAGACGCCCAGTATATGGTATGAACAGACCATACATAGAGTGAGAGGTTTGTAAGGTTTGTTGAAATTTGTAAGTTCATCAGATGGTTATGTTTACTGTAGGTCTATCCAGTGAGGGGCTTTCCTGATGTTTCTGTTGCACAAGGCTGCTGTTCTGTCATGTAACATCAAATACACCTGACCTGATGTACAGTATAATATAAATGCTGTACATCTGTTAAGATGAACAAATGTACTGTGTCTTTTGCCTATACATCCCAGAATCATGACATCTGTAGCTGACTGACACAAAACTCAACCTGTCCGAATGGGGCATTGTTTATGCAGCTTAACCATGTACACTGTATGTAACATTTTATGTCACCTGACTCAATATGACCAAATGTGAATCACTAAACCTCTTGTAGATGCATTTTTTCAGAAGCCCTAACTATTGAAGAATATTAAGTATAGTCTATAGTAAATCTATAAACAAAAACAATGTATTGAGATTAAGAAAGAGTCCAAATAAACTGAGTTTTAAGAAAAGACCCCAAAAAGACTATTTGTTTTTTTGCATTTTCTTTCAGTTTTTTGTATTTTATTTAAGACTACACATTCAAAGCCAGACAAGGTTCATACCTGCCAACACTCATTAAATACAACCACAAATCAGAAAAAGTTTGGACATTTTGTAAAATGCAATGAAATCAAGAATCTGTGAGTCCCCATGCTAACTGCACATCATCGCTAACACCATGTGAAATGGGCCCAAGATCATCAAGATTGGACAGTGGATGATCGGAACTGTGGGGCGGACAATGGCCGGTGGCGGCGGTGTTATGCTGTGGGCGATGTTTTCTTGGGACACTTTTGGCTATATGATTTTGGCATTGGTGGGGACGTAATGGCAGACAACAGACATTTGATCGTTTGATCAAAATTATTGCTTGGGACAATTTAGTAGTCGCTGGATACTGGTAGGGACATGTCATTGCGTCCTTACTAAATTATCTATATAATGACAATAAGTCAACAATAACTCCAGAGAAATAGTCTTGGTGAATATGTCAGCATTCACCATATTCAGTCATTTCCTGCCCACATTCCAGAAATGATGGCACAGCTGATTTGCTCATTCTAGGAGCTATAAAAAGATGTATATGTGAAAAGTGATAACTGCTGACTCAAATAGTTTTTTTGAGAGATCAACGTCAAATGCTGTACAACATATAATTGCATTGCTTGAATACAGGCATACCAATGGAAATGTGCAACTTTTCAGCTCTCTGTCTTTTCTGTTTGTGCACGAGATGGCCATGTTCATTCCTCATCCCCAACAGGACTGTTTTGACTGGCTTGCTGTGACTGATTTTCGTTGCATTTCTGGTCTTCCGTTTCAGCTGTAAAACAAGAAAAATATCTATTGACCCCATGTTTAAATATTATTGTTGTTAAAACATATTAAGACCATTATATTTATATACGTCAAGGTCAAGCTCAAATTCCCTGGCACCCCTGCAGGCTCCTGAGTTCATCTGTATACATCATATTCAGAGTCTGAGAAAAGGCCATCATGCAAACTCTCTTTCTACCTTACAACAGAGCAAAAAAGAATGTGTAAGTGAGTGAGGGAGTAAAGGAATAAGATGAAGAGAAACAGGCAGAGAAAGGCAGAATTGCGGTAAGTTTAACGGATTGTCTGTTTAAAAAACGTTTTGCACCGTTTTGTCGGGGCTGAACGCAGCCTTGGTCTCAAGCGCGACACATTGAAAAAGCTGCGAGGCGCAATGGTCAAAAATTGCCATCTAGCGTCATATTTACACAGAAAAGCTATTAAAAAAGCAGCGGAGCTTTGTAAACAGTTCAGAGTAATCATGTCATCTTCATAAGAACGATATGATTGCCAGAATGCATTTACCTGTATTTTTGAAAAGGTCCTATTCACACATGATCTCGTTAACGGTATCCCGTTAACAGATTTACCAGTAAAGACTGTATGTGTAAAAGGGGCTAAACCCTCCCTCTGCATATGCGGTAAGGTTGCTTAGGGTTGCTTAACGTTCATCTGGGAAAACTCACTTGATTTGTAACGTAAATCATTTAAACCTATGCCAACACAGGAGAATACATCAACATATTTCTAAATATGTTAGAAAATATAGGCATATTACATTTTGTATTTAACAGTGTTGTTCAATAAAACCATTTACTTGGTTTTGATACTTTATTTGAGGCCAATTATTATTGCCTCATCGTTACTTTATATATAAATATAGTCATATTAAAGCCTGTTTTCCCACTTAGTTCTATTTCTATTACTAAAAAATATCAGATTACTCGCTTGTCAAAACATTTCAACTGCATTGTTTTACTTTTTGTGATTAAAAGACAAATATTTTGTCATTTGAACATTTCTTATTTCTTAAAAACATTGTCTCGTTCTATTGAACCAAGTATCTGCATTTTGTCTCACCTTGTGAGCTAAGTGTATTGTCACATATCTGTATTTTGTCTCATCTCATGAGCTAGGTGTATTGTCACACCCCTAGTGTCTATGAGTGTGATAAAGCTCATAATTGTCCAAGTGTATGATATAGCTTTCATTCTTCAGGTCAATCATATATTCATGCATAATCATATATTCAATCTGTTTGAATGAGGAAAGCGATAACTTTGCCATAGTATCCTTTCAAGTGTTAAAGTTGTTAAAGTTGTTGCATTCTTTGCATGTGCTGCACTTTATTTGTACCATTTGTTTTATTAGTTTATATATTAGAATTTGAAAGACAATAACAATATTTTTTGATAAGTGATCAAAATCTGATTCTAGTCCTTGAAAACCAAAAGAGTAGTGCTTGAAAAGTCCTTGAAAGTCCTGGAATTTCCTTTTGCAGTATCTGTACGAACCCTGTTTAAGTTACCAGTTCTTGGACCATTT